TTTGTTGAATCCGTCCGAAAGATCGACTCTTGGCCCGAATACTGTTTTCTTCTTCTGGTTCAGCCTTGTCGTCCAACGCCGACTGCTAACGCGGCTTAGCTGACAACGGGATGTGAGCAGCATGTTTACCGTACCAAATCAGTCACGAAGAGCGATTAATGGAAAAGTCTGTGCGGCGAGTGCACGTCGGATCCGTTCTCGCGTCACTGGTGCACGAATCGACAAGCTCGGACACTACAATAACGAGCTTGTGTCGCACACGAGCGAACACGACCTACCGCCACCCTCCTCACCCGGACAGGCCAACACGCCCCCACGTGTGCATGTTCGCTCTCATCTTCATTATCTCCCGTGCACGCACACACACAGATGTGCGCACTCCACCGCATATACCACGCACAAACCTGGATGCACGCACGCACACATACGCGCGCGCGGGCACATCGCCACACGCACAGACTTATTCACTTGCAAACACACACGTATACGCTCGCACACACACACACTCACATACATACACACGGAAACGCGTACACACTGACATACATAAAACATCCGCAAATAGGCACCATTCAGCCGCACGCATAGATTTAACGCACCAATGATTGCGACTTGTGTAGGCTTTACAGCGTGCGGTGGGTTTCAGCCGTCTATTTCCAGCTCGTAGCGCTGTGGTGCGCTGAGCGACGCCGCCGGCACGGCCCCTGCATCAAGATAGGCGATTTTGCCTTGCCAGCACGACCTCCGGCTTTAGGGGCCGCAATCCCGGGCTGTGCCGAGGTGGCGGGGAGCGGACGGGATCCGGGGAGGGAGCCCCTGGGGAGCGGACAGGAGCCGGGGAGGGTGCCCCTGGGGAACGGACGGAACTTGAGGACACCGCCCAGCCGGACTCCGCGTTCTGTCGTCAGCCGCGGCGGCGTCCAGAGGAAAAGGCGTTCCAGCAGGGTGTCGCAATCACATTAGAGCTACTTCAAAGACTCCTTTCGACAGAAGTGCTACGGCATCAGTTAAGTGTGGCATTGCTTCTACTGCAAAAACTTTTGCAGGCTTCACTTATATACGACACTACTCCTGCCACAGAAACTTTTGCATGCCATGTGTGCTACATGGCAAAACTTATGCTGACAAACTTTTACTCAACATTACTTATACAGCAAGGACTTGCACAGTCTTAACTTATGTATGATATTACTTTTACTGACAAAACTCAGACACTACATTGGTACTTTACAAGAAAGCTTATCCTGAAAAAAACATGTGCCAGTCATTACTTTTACAGCAAAGACTTGACCACAAGTCTTTGCTGTAGCAGTAATGTCACGTATAAGTCTGCAGTAGAAGTAATTCCGTGTATAAGTAACGATTGTACCCATTATTGCAGTCGAGTTGATGACGTTATAATTTTTGCAGTAGAACTTTTGTCGCGTAGCACTAATGTCGTGTGTAAGTGTTGGCAGCTGAAGTTATGTGTTGGCACTCCCGTCGATAGGAGTTTTTGTTGTAGCACTAATGCCGTGGAACCGCCCAGTGGACGGGGACGGCTCAGCAGCCGTGTCCGGCTTGCCCTCGTGCCCGCTGCGGCGACCCGAGTGAACGAGTGGAGCCTGAGCCTCCCCTGTCTGACATACACGCAGCTCAACGCGAATGAACGAGTGGAGCCTGAGCCTCCCCTGTCTGGCATACACGCAGCTCAACGCGAAAGGACGGTCGTTCCCCATGCCATTTCGTCAAGAACGTCATGGGCAGTCTTAGATCTTGTCTGTGTAGAAGAAACATTCCTGTGCGTTGATTGAGTGCAAAAGGCACTTCTAAATCCCGTGACGGCAGTAAAAGCAAGCCGGTGCCAACAGCCCCAGCGAGACCGAGCGCCGGTTGGTTCGCGGTGCGGGATGGCACTGGAGCTGGAGGACATTTGTGGCTCACACTTGTCTATCCTTGTCATGGTTCTTAGAGGCTTGGACCATGAAATGAATAGAACTTGTTTTTCGTCTATCAAGGAGTGTATCGAGTTACGGTGGTAATGAGTATGATGTCCTTGTCTTCATCTCAATTCTAACGACCTGGAATACCATAAGTCAAGAAAGTCGGCTTCTTCACCCAAAAGGTGAAGGCACTCGTTTCATGCTCCCTAAGCAAATTAATGACGTTTGACTATGCAAACATTTGTGGTCCCATACACTTTGAACGCATTCTTGTTAGCAATGCATCGTGAAAAAAACAACCCATAATGCATTCAAATCACCAGTTTCTGCCGGATTGTTGCGGTTTCCTTCGGCGCTGCACGACTAACCACCTTTTCGCATTTCCATAAATTTCTCCCTGACGGTCATAACTCCCGTCATCTGCCGCAGCAGACCAGCATATTCCACAGCCGTCTGATTGCCTTCTAGCAGTTGTTTATCTGTCTTCCGGGTCTGCCGTCACTGCCGCTGTTGCGACGCGCCTGGTGCAGAGCGGCCATCTTGCCGAGGTTTTCTCCGCACCAGCGCCCGGAGATGCCTCCGGAACTGGAGGCGAGTCCGCCTCTGCCTCCGAATTGGCCCTCTTGACAGCGTCTGTTTCGGCGCGGCACAAAGGCGGCGGGCGCCCGAACCATCGGGTCGGTCGTGTCGGCTGAAGGATGGCAGTGGAGACGTAGCTTCCCGCAGTACAATAGGCCGTCCTTCCTCAAAAGCTTAAAATGCGGTAGCTACCGCGACCCAGTTGGTCTGTTTTAAAACCATCTACCCATCATGTTGTGTAAAATATTATGTGGAAGTAATCACTTGTCAACTGAAAATTTAGTGAATTCCTTCAACATTCACAGCCTGTTGCCTGTGAAGAACGGCATTCAAAATGTTCACCAGAGCTATAAGAAAGCAAAGACGCATGGTAAATGAATGCATCATCTCCGGACGATGACCACCCCGCCTGAGCCGTGGAGATAAGGGCGTAGGCGGATAACCCTTCGCTTGAACGGTCTTACCCAGCAGCAAAAACGCATGACGTATCGCGGCTCTCGGCCTGGCGGATGGGGCCGTTCACCCGCGTTCACCCGCGTTCACCCGCGTTCACCCGAGTTCACCCGAGTTCACCCATGTCTCTATCGTTGGCTGTTGCGCCTGCGCGCTGAGCGGACTGCTTTGTCGGATCACTCGTCAGCGCGTGTCTGGGTGACGCCCCCCACCTGTCTGCACAGTTCACCCCGGCTCCCGGCCCGCAGACAGTGTGTCTGGAGCAACAGGACGCCACGGATGTGGCCGTCGAACACGTCACACAGAGCGCCGGCTTCGGAAGCGCTGAGCATGCGGGGACGCTGAGCGTGCCAACAATGTTTTGTTTGACTCCTTCGCTGCACGACTCTGCACTACGCTTAAGTTAGATGCCACCCGCACCAGGAGGACGGCAGCGAGGTCCGCTCGCTGAGTCGCAGCACGACTCTGCACTACGTTCACGCCAGATTCCACCAGCACCAGGAGGACGGCAGCGCGGTCCGCTCGCTGAGTGTACCCACCTTGGCAGAGCCGGCCTGGCCACTCCCGGAAGCCCGGTGGGCGCGCTGAGCCAGGCTGAGCGGCGCCGGCGGCGTTTCCGGTCTCTGGCTGGCCGCCGACGAAGTCGGCGCGGGGCCGCACAAAGTGCCTGCGTGTAATTCGAGGAAGGAAGGAGATTGGACGTGTGTATTAATAGAACTCAATAGCTTCAGTGGAGTTCAATCTCAGCAGTTTCAATCAGTTACCTCGCTTTAAACTTTTCCACTCAGCGACCGTTATTGTAAGGATGGTGTTCATCAAGCCGTGTCATTTTGCGCTGCCAGTGATTCCACTGGAGCAAAACTCCGGAGGTCACTGCCCTTGCCGGAGGCTATTTCATTTCCGTGGCCCGAGGTGTCTTTCGAAAGTCGGTTATTTGTCAAACATTTACTGTAATCATGCTGCAATCAATGTCCGCGAATGTGTGAAACTTTGGCTGAATGGCCATTAGTCATGCGAGCGAACCTAAAATACGTCCGAACCGAAGCGTTTCAAGTGCTTGTCGAGTCTTGGCTGTCAGCGCGCTGGCGAATTCCTCTTCTCTGCTGGGCTAGAGACGTGCCATGCTAATAAGATAGATTGTGCTCCGACAGTGACTTGCAATTAAAAGAAATGTTCCACATTTGAAAATACTGAAGAAAACATCAGACAGGATGAAACAAGCTCGATTATCACCATTGGTGTACTTTAACTGGAAAAGACTGATCTAGACAACACGATTTCTCAGTTGTGTAAATATGCTCCTCAATACGTCATGGTTTGATTACGTGGTCGTATCTTGCACAACATTGCTCGATAGGCAATTGACGGCCGCTACATTTGGAAATGGTGCTCACGAACGTTAGATATAAACGACCCGACAATTCTATGTTTTGGCTTTGATCGCCGTATGGCTAATGAAATGACAGAATTTAAATGTGAATGGTCTTCAAGATGGCTTTTTCAGTTTAAAACCCCATACACATGTTTTAGAAACCTGAGTTAAGGTAGAAGTGTCGTTGTGTGTGGATTTGGGGCCCAGTTTTGTTTCCTGCGGTTTCCGTGGATTTGGACAAGCCGTTTATATGGGAGCATAAATCACACATTGTTCCGTTTTTGAACCTGCTTTGTCAAACACACAGACACTGCAAAGCGGGTCCCAGATTTAGAGGCGTGTTGCCAGTGCTGAGGACGACGCCTCATAGAGCGGTGAGAGTCCAAACACCCTTTGTTGATCCTCTGGAGATGGCAGGCTTCCTGCGTTGGCTCCCCTATGACTGCCATACGGCTGAAGTTGGCAGCCTAGAGCATAGGTCGTTCAAACGCGCTCGCCGGAGGAGGCCGCGCGTTGTGACTAAGTAGTGCAACTGTATGTGTGCGTGTGTGTTTATTGCATAAAACCAACTGGGTGCAGAACAGTCGCCACAAGGAAGCTCACTTAATAAACGAGCTGAGTACAACCGAACCAGCACTCGTCGGATTGCGCATGAGACCTGGTCTCGTTCTCAGGAGCTGGTGGCCGCGGCACCGAACCAGCGCAACTGGCGCGGCATCATCCTCGCGCTGCTGGTCATCACCTTCATCTTCTCCATGATCGTCGTTTCGGCCATCATGCTGACGCCCAAGGACACCCGGACGCCGGTCACCGGACGCCGCTTCACTTTAGAAGATGTCGTCGGCACCGACTTCAAGATCAACGCCTTCAACGGCTCTTGGCTCTCAGGTAAGTGATTTGACTGTATTGGTTGAAGTTCTAGTGTAAAAACTCTATGGCAGCATTCCATATCGCGTGAGCGGCGAAAAACAGGACGATGACATCGCTTGGCCGTTCTGGTGGTGATGACGAGAAGGGGTGATAGCGACCGTTGTGATCGCAAGAGTGTATAAGTCGCCGCGCCAGCTTGATGGGACGGGATGCCCACCTCAGGAGCGGCTAGACTTCGAGTTGGCGTATGTCGAAACAGGCCAGCTTGTCGACACCTCCTCCGAGTAGGCGATCAGTGACAGGTAGCGGAAGTTGATCTCCTATTCCGGTCGATATTCATGATGAAACGCTTTCTCTTAAACACTATATTTGCGAGATTTTCGTTAATCTATTTAAGTTTGGGTGTATGCATTTTTGGAACAGCTGGCTATTGTACCACACGTTTTTGCTTCAAGGGAATGGTCCTCATTTGAAGATACTCAAACAAGCATCACCAGCGTCACTTATAAGTACTGGTGCACTTTTAAGT